GGTTATCTATTACTTCTACACTCTTGCACTTAGAAGAAGACATCAATATTTTGGTCATGTCAGTCCTATTTCACCTTTTTCATTATTGTTGGTCCTGTATAATTGAGGGTGAATTAGGGATATTTAATGTAATAACTATGATGGTTTTCACTTTAAAAACTTAAACTTTAATGTATTGAAGTTTCTTAACCATGTTGAGGTTGCTAAAACATCTTGTTTAAGCATATTATTCATGGTTTGATACTTTGCTTTTTTGTGATTTTATCTTCTTACATTAGTTATTGTATTGTTTTATTCAACATTGTTTTCATGAACTCTTAAATGCCCTTATGAATAAATCCTTAATTTATGATAAGCATAACATTGTTATGGTTACGTGTTTGATTTTATGGCTCAAAATGCATTTAGTTCTTATATGATTACAATGCTTACGTGTTTAATTTTTTTAATAAGTCAAGTCAAAACCTAGCTAAAAAGGCTTTTTAAAAAGCTGGTCTATCTTTCTAAGTGTGTTTCAAAGTCTTTTTAATTTTTTTTTTCATTTAGGCTAGACCCCTCAAAGTTTGCATCTCATTTTCTTGTTCATGCTTGCTTTCATTATCTTCCTTAACATTGCCATACCTATTCTTAATACATGAGCAACGTTTTCTGAGCAACATGAACTTGTGTTTATATTAACACAAATAACATAAGAAAATGATACCCTTACTCGTGTGTGTGTGTGTGTGTGTATGTGAATTTTCCAGGTTTACAATGAGTCTTGTATTTTGGTTATAAGACTTATCACATGAGAGATTCATCCCACATTAAAATGCCTTGTTTTTAGTAAAGAAAAATGTTCCCATATTTTTTCTAAAACATTCATTTAAAAAAACAAAATCAAGGATTTCCTTTTTCATATCAAAAGCATTGATTCTTAATTCGTTACTCATCTACGATTGTCTAGCGTAATTAAACCATAATAGTTCATTACTTTTGATATCAATTAGGATAGCATATTTGTTGCCTTTTGGTTTTAAAAATGAAACTTTATTTTCAAAATGCGTAGGTTTTCTTGGTGAGATATCTATCAATAATTCATAATATAATTGAAACCTCATAAATCGTTACTCTTAAGTGCCAATTAAGGATAATAAGGTGGTCCATTCATATACGATGTAACTATCCTTTCAAACAATAATGTTAGCCATAATTAATAATAATTGTAATAATAAAATTTTGGCTTTCAATAATTATCCACTGATAATTTCTTTACATAAATGAATCTTTATAGACCGATATGCATAGACATTGATTGGAGGTAATATTATGAGAAAAGAAAATAATGAAAATATAAATATTTATATGGTGGTATACTTCAAGTTAATTTAATCATCTTAGGTCATTATTTTTAAACTATATAACTTCTAGTTTAATAAGGAATATCCATTTTGAATGCCTCTAGATATGGCCTTTAGGTAAAAAAAACCATTAATCACGTTATAGAAAACTTTTAGCAAAATTATATGTGATTTTCCATCAAGATAAATGAACCATTATAGGTTATTATTCTAGAATTTATATTAAGGCTTAAGTTTAGACCTAGGTCAACATGATCCCATATAAGTATGTTATATTATTCACTAAAGATGTTTGAAAGATCATCACTAATTGTAAGCCTCGATCAATAATAAACAATCCAAGTACATCACGTCAATTCACTAATTGCTTCTTAAAGAAATGGACCATCACAAATCATTATTTTGATAGTAATAAAAAATAATGAAACAATCTCATATAAGATAGATTTTGGCCCCCAATAGCGATTGTTTTGTTAAATGGACCATCACAAATAATTATTTTAGCAATAATTAGAAATAATAAAATAATCTCATATAAGATAGATTTTGCCCCATTCACAACCGTTTTCCTCAACATATATATACCATAAATACTTTAAGAAGAAAAAATAAATAGCAATACAACTAATTTTAATGATATTTTCTTTGTTATATGATTAGTTATTTGCCTAGAACTTTGAAAAATTAGTTAAGATTTTTAATGGTAATAATTTGGTTATAATTTTTTTTATGGTGTATATATTTTATAGACCTTTTTTCACTTTAAATAAAAACTCAAAAAGAATAATTACCATGATATTATGTGGTATAGCTGGTATGTTGGGTAGCTAATGCACCATGAATAAAGAAGTTTTAGGCTGTGATTGGTGGATTGACACAGTTGATTTGGTGATTCATGAGGGAGGACGAGATTGTTGTTACAATGGCCAGTCTTTGTAAGATGGCTAACGTGATTTGTGAATGTTGTGGAGATTATGGTTGTTGGTTAAAAGTTTTATGAGTTTGGTTTATGTGTTATGTAATGGAAGTTGTGAGCGATAAATTTTTGGTTAAAACAAAGTGTTCAAAGTGGCAATGAGAAAGGTTGGAACATGATGCGTTTGAGAGGATGGTGTTTCTCTTGATGAGGAGTTTTCGAAGGTGATTTGTCAACTGTAGAGGAAACAATGGCTGCATTGAATTTTTTTTTTTTTTAGGGGGGGGCGGGGGGCGGCAAGAATGCTATTTTCCTCCTTTTTTAAAGTACTTGCATGGGATTAGATAATCCTAATCCCTATTATTGTTGAGATCCCTGTTAAAATAAAATAAATGAAATTTAAAAAATAATACTAAAATTTTTTATTTTATTTCTTGTGATCAGTGGTAAATTAAAATTTTCCTTGACTTGTAAAATCTCCCTCTAATTTTCCAGCTCTGTTTGATTTTTTATTTATTTATTATTTCATGCCTTTATTAAATTAAATAAATAGCATACTTTATAAAAATACATTGAAAAATATGGATACAAATACACTGAGAACTCCACAAGGATTAAAAAGAAACATGAAATGGAGTCAGGAAGTAGATGCGCTCACTAGATTCTGCCTATCAACAACAACGAGAAATCATACCATGTAAAAGGATTTCTGATGCAGTAGATAGTTTGCCAACAAAAGGTGTTAAACAGAAGCCATGTCTTATATATATTTTTAGATTATGAGTATCATAGATGGCATACGTACGTATTACATGAGTGCATCAAGGTGGAACATACAAAACAAAATCACAAGATAAAAATGAAAAACATCCCTTGTTTTTTCTCACAAACAAGTGTTACCGACCTCAATACGTGAAAACATCTAGAGCACTTGCTTTGCTTCATCACTCTTAAGCTTGGCTGGTTCTTCTCCCCCCTCAATGCTAACCACCTTAGGACCCTTGATTTTGTCAAGGGACAAATTGGAAAGTGACATAATGAGAACCCCATTCTCAAGCTTAGCCTTCACAGAATCCAAGTCCGCATTCTCTGGCAGCTTAAACTGCCTGATGAACTTGCCATAGACTAGTAATAAGCTGGTTGGGGGGTGTGATTAGTACTTAAAAGTGCATTTTTATCATGGTTTTATATCATCATTTTGCACTTGAAGTATCAATAACTCCTTAACTAAAATATGTTTTATAATAATGTATCTAATAATATAAGATACCTATAATTTGTGGTAAATGTCTATTTTTAATGCAGGCCTATCACATAAATAAAAGGATTGATTGATGACTTGAAGAACTTAAATTGCAAGGATAAAGAGATGGCCAAACTTAGAAAAGAGATGTCGGTGCAATCCAAACTGGAACACTGTTCGGTAATTGGGTCATATCTAGAGCTATATATCTCAGATTTAGGTCCAATTTATATGGATGGAAAGGTAAGACATAGGCCTACAACTTTCATATGGAGCCCAAGATCTAAAAAGGCCATTATCAAGTCCAAATTGTAGCAACAACAAAGAAGCCCGAATTTATCTTCCACCCGAGCACTGTTCGGTATTGTGGCCATATCTGGAGTTCTAGAAGTCCAAATGAGCTGAAGTTTTTACACAAGAAAGATGAGACAATTGCCTACAACTTTCATGTTTGCAACTGGCTCCAATTTTGACATTATCAATGACGTTTTGGGCAGACAAGAGAAGATAAGGATTGTCACCAAGTCAAAAGTTGGTCACCCACTTATCAATTAGTCATCAAATCAATAGTTCCCAATTTTGGCCTATAAAAGGAGGCATTTGCCATGCATTTAGGCATCTTGGTTTCCAGATCAAGATCATGCTCTTCCTTTCTCTCTTTGTATTTTTTGTAATGTTTATACTTTGCTTTCATTAATATTAAGTTTATGCCTTTCATTTCCTTTCCTTTACTTAGTTAACTTTTATGTTCTTATTTTGTTTATCTATTTTACTTTCTTTCATTATGTCTAGCAAAGTTAATTATGTCAAGGTGAAAAGGTTACACTAATGGTGTGAGAATAAGTATAATGTAAACTTAATATAGACCTTAATGTTTGATACTAATATGTTTTATATTTGTTATCTTGTTCACTCTTTAATACTTTGCTTGTTAAATGACTAATCTTGATTTATGTTGTATAACACTTGGTACAACAAATGTTTGGCACTTTCATAGCCCATAATGTATGGTATAACCGACACCTGAGCTATGAAAGGAACTTGATTTGTTGTTAACATAAGTTATAATCATGAATGCTTGACGAGATTTACAAGTATTAACATTAATTGAATAAGATGACTAATGTAATCATGTTAACAATATATAATATGATTGGAACCTCCTTTGTGTGTGGTTTCCAATTCAATAATAAGAGTTTATACTATACTTGTTTGATATACCATTAGTGGAACCTCTAACCTTGACATTTGTTATTATCATTGTTTAATTGTTACATTAATATTTCATCTCAAAATTCTCATCATCATCATCATCATCTTCTTTTTCTCTTTCTTTATTATTATTATTATTATTATTATTATTATTATTAGTACTATTATTATTATTATTATTATTATTGTAGCTGTTATTGTTGTTGTATTATTGTTATTTATAATTTGTATAAATAACCTCCCTGTAGTTTGACCCCGGTCTTGCCGAGTTATTTATTACTTCGACACTCCTACACTTGAAAAAAGACATCAACCTTTTAGTCGTGTCACCATACGATTTCTCCACCACTCTGTGCCAGTGATCTCCTTTTTTCTCTTCTTCTCTCTTCCTCTCTCCACTCCTCTCAACACCCTATTCTGGTCAATTTCAATCTTCACCTCCTCTTTCTTCATTCCTGGTACATCTAGCATGATAACATGACCCTCAGGTGTTTCTTTCCAGTCTACTCGGGCTGGAGAGAGTGCCACATAATCGTCCTTGTCGAAACCAAGTGGGATATGTTCCAAGACCCTGAAGGGGTCCGGTAAACGGTCCAGCCAGAAGTCAGTCAGGAGACTCCAAGGACGGTCTGAAAATGGCAGGAGAGATGCATTAGAGAACCCAAAAAGGCAAAGAACGAGCAGGACTGAGAAGGCAAGCGAGTGCTGCCTCATTTTTCTATAACTTCTATTTTTGTTTGTTCGTTTCTGTTTTCAGAGGGTTTAAGGGACTGATACAACTTTCGAGAATGCGTTTTTGTTTCAGTCTGAAATGGAACGAGTCCATTCCCGCCTTTATATAGGCTATAGTTACAGAGCATTGGAGGGGCTGAATTTTTTTTTTTTTACGAGATGGGGAAGGTTCGAGCCGCTTTGAGAGCAATAATTAACGATAAGCCATGAGGTGGCAAGCTGTGGTTAATTAAGCGGGACACTTCCTCCACGTTCCAGAGACTTCATGTGAATTCTTATTCTTGTATAGAAATTTCTCGGATTTTCGATTGTGGGTATGTACATTCGTAGCAAGTTTATTGTTTTTGTGTTTTAAATATGTTTTTAAAATTAATTATTTAATTAATTTTTTATTTTAGATCAATATTTTTAAATCATTTTATATATTATCAAAAATAATTTTAAAAAATAAAAAATATTATTTTAATATATATTTTAGAAAATAATCACAGAAAAATTCCAACGACTCATAAAAACATGACATGGAAAGAGTCGGTCTCAGCCATTACACATTGTGTTTCTACATCACTCAAGTACGGTTTCAAGTAATTAATTGATTAAATACTTCACTTACCTATAGCCAAATTCAACATGACTGTGATGAAAAATACAGGCAGCACTCGTGAATTAATTCAAATTTAAATGTCAGCCCCTTTCAAGATGCGAGTTAGTAGCTTATATTTACTAGTGGTTTAGTATGTTTTTCAAAATATTTTTATTTAAAAATATTTTAAAATAATATATTTTTTAAAAAATATTTTAATATTTGTTTATAAAAATAATTTAAAAACATTAAAAAATAATATAAAATAAAAAACATTTAAATTTTAAAAAAATACTTTTGGACCATGAAAACAAATATATCCCTAAAAACATTGCTATTTTTCAGATATTATTTTGGCAGTCAACTTAGCTTTTTCAAAACAAATTCAGAATTTTACAGTATCTTTTAGAGTTTCCGGGAAAAAAAAGTATTATTCTTAAAATTAATCAATTGGATATTGCTTTACCTATAAAAGAAATTGCAATTCTAAATGATGACTAAATTTCACAAGTAGCAGGTTAATTAATTCATGATCATGTCTAGTATAATCATGTCGTTCAGTACATGGACTGCAAAACGACCATTTATTTATATATCTATACCTATCTATATATTTTTTTTATATTTTGATAGGTATGGGAGGTATGAAATATAAATCCTTAATTGTTTACTTTTGTTTCCTCTAAAAAGTTAGAACTAAGCCCATAAATGTTGTCATAGTAGTTTGTCCGAGAAGACAATAAAATAATTGGTCTTGCTCGTATTCTGCAGGTAAAATTGGCTTGGATTCTGATAGAAAATCTATGAATACAAACATAATTATTAATGGAAAATTTCCATAGTAATTTGGAGTGATTTTTATTAATGAAATATATTTCATTATTAACTTTATTGGTATTTATTGATGAAATATTTATATTAATAAACACTAAAAAAATTATTGTTGGAATAAAAAAATTTAAAGAAACTAAAAAGTACAATAACGTGTAATTTTTTATAGAAAATTTTATTGATAAAATTACAATTAGATTCAAATAGAAAAAGCCATACAGAATTGTCGAAGAATTGACAAACAAAATAATTTCTTTGGTAATTTTATTTATAATATTTAATATATAACCTAATTGTCGACCGTTTCCTATCTTATTTCTCATTCTTCTCATATGCACCTAAACAAACCCTCCTAAATCTGCAACTAACAACCCCCCTCCCCTCTCCTCACATAACCCTTTATTTTAACACAAGTCATCATTTTTTGACTTTTCTAGTCACAACAACAATTTTATTGTGGATATTCTATTTTAAGTAACTAAATCTATTTTTTTAATTTAAATACAATTTTGAAATGTTAATTTTTTTATTATATATTTTTGGTGTATATGTATTTTATTTGGGTGTTTACTTGTTTTATTGTTTTTTCTCAAATAAACTTTTTGTATGGATACATGATTTTGTACATGTTATGATTTGTTTTAGAATTTTTAAAATTATATTTGTTTGTAAATTATTAAAACTTATATCGAATTACCATATAAGAAATGTTGTGATGATATAAGCAATGACTTGTTTAACAAATCTGTTTTATATTTTATCAATTTTATTATCGAATTATAATTTTCATAAATTAATGTGTACAAATTTGTATGGACATGGATAATTGATAATGAATTAAGAGAAGTATGAAAGTAGGTTTATTATTTATTTAACATAGTTAATTAATAAATATATTTTTTCATCATTATTTGATATAAAGGTTGGATAAAAGTCATGAATGATCGTTCATTTGATATATATTATTGTCATCATTATTTAACATCAATTATTTGATCTTGTCAACTTATAAACATTACCTTTAATCTAAGGAATTTATGATTCATATCGATTATTAATCTTTGAGATAGTTGAAAAGTTAAGATAAGTTGAATCGTATAAATACCAAGTAGGTGGAATTTATTGAGATATTTTCATATATCATGAAATACAAGCAAGGTAAGAAAAATATAGTTGCATATGCATTATCGTAAATGTATGTTCTTCTTCTAATATCAACTTACAACAACTAATTCATTTTTTAGGCATGATGGATTTTTATTTGAAGATAAAAGATTATGTGTGCTAAATTGTTCAATGCTTGAATTGCTAGCAAAGGAAGCTTATAATGATAGATTAATGGAACACTTTAAAATTACCTAGGTCAAGGAAATGAAGGGGCTTTATATTTCTTGTTGTATGTAGATTTTCTAAGATGATACATTTCATATCTTGCTATAAAATTAATGATGTAATAAATATAGCAGATCTATTTTTTAGGGAAGTAGTTCAATTATATGGTGTTTTAGGGAACATTATATCGAGATATTAAGTTTTTGAGATACTTTTGAAAAGTTTTGTGGGGTAAGTTAGGAACTAAAAATTTATTTTCTACTACTTGTCATCCACAAATAAATGGTCAAATTAAAGTAGTAAACAAGACTTTAACTCGTTTATTGAGAGCTATCATTTGAAAGAATATTGAGAAAATAGAAAGATTGTTTATCATTTATTAAATTTGTATATAACGTGGTATGCATTCTACTAATTATTCCTCATTTAAGATAGTTTATGGTTTTAATAATTTAACACTATTAGATTCGATTCCTTTAATTTTTTGATGAAAGTATTAGTTTTGATGGTAATTAAAAAGCATAAATGGTGCAAGACTTATATGCAAATATACATAAATAGATATAGAAAAACAATAAGCAATGTGCATTTAAAGCTAAAAAAGAACATAAATTAGTAAGGTTTAAACCATGAGGTTGGGTTTAGGTGTATATAAGAAATGAAAGGTTTCATACATAAAGGAGATTAAAATTGATGCCTTGAGAAAATGGTCATTTTTAGATCATAGAAAGGATTAATAATAATGTCTATAAAATGGATCTATCAAGTTAGTATGGTGTTCATGCTATATTTAATGTTTCTGACATCTTTGTATTTAATGTAGGTGATGATTTTGTTGCACTCATTGGAAAGAAGACTACATTTCCCCACAGTATCCATTGATGAATATGACACGAGCAACGGCGCCAAAAACTTGACACGACGAAAAGATTGATGTCTTCTCCCAAGTGCAGGAGTGTCGAAGTAATAAATAACCCGGCAAGACTGGGGTCGAACCACAAGGAGGTTAATTGTACAAATTATAAATTACAATAATACAACAACAATAACAATAACAACAACAACAACAACAACAACAACAACAACAAGAATAATAATAATAATAATAATAATAATAATAATAATAATAATAATAATAATAATAATAGTAGTAATATTAATAATAATAATAAAGAAAGAGAAGAAGAAGAAGAAGATGAGAACTTGGATATGGAAAATTAATGTAAGGATTAAGCAATAATAATAACAAATGTCAAGGTTAGAGGTTCCACTAATGGTATATCAAACAAGTATAGTATAAACTCTTATTATTGAATTGGAAACCACACACAAAGGAGGTTCCAATCAGATTATATATTGTTAACATGATTACATTAGTCAGCTTATTCGATTAATGCTAATACTTGTAAATCTCGTCAAGCATTCATGATTATAACTTATGTTAACAACAAATCAAGTTCCTTTCATAGCTCAGGTGTCGGTTATACCATACATTATGGGCTATGAAAGTGTCAAGCATTTGTTGTACCAAGTGTTATACAACATAAATCAAGATTAGTCATTTAACAAGCAAAGTATTAAAGAGTGAACAAGATAACAAATATAAAACATGTTAGTATCAAACATTAAACTCCATATTAAGTTTACATTATACTTATTCTTACACCATTAGTGTAACCTTTTCACCTTGACATAATTAACTTAGCTAGACATAATGAAAGAAAGAAAAATAGATAAACAAAATAAGAACATAAAAGCTAACTAAGTAAAGGAAAGGAAATGAAAAGCATAAACTTAATATTAATGAAAGCAAAGCATAAACATTACAAAAAATACAAAGAGAGAAAGGAAGAGCATGATCTTGATCTAGAAACCAAGATGCCTAAATGCATGGCAAATGCCTCCTTTTATAGGCCAAAAATGGGAACTATTGATTTGATGACTAATTGATAAGTGGGTGGCCAACTTTTGACTTGGTGACAATCCTTATCTTCTCTTGTCTGCCCAAAACGTCATTGATAACGTCAAAATTGGAGCTAGTTGCAAACATGAAAGTTGTAGGCAATTGTCTCAGCTTTCTTGTGTAAAACATTCAGCTCATTTGGACTTCTAGAACTCCAGATATGGCCAAAATACCGAACAGTGCTCGGGCTGGAAGACAGATTCGGGCTTCTTTGTTGTTGCTACAATTTGGACTTGATAATGGCCTTTTTAGATCTTGGGCTCCATATGAAAGTTGTAGGCCTATGTCTTACCTTTCCATCCATATAAATTGGACCTAAATCTAAGATCTGTAGCTCAAGATATAACCCAATTACCGAACAGTGTTCCGGTTTGGATTGCACCG